AAAACCACAATGAGATAACATCTCATGCCAGTCAGAATGACAATTATTAAAAAATGAAGAAACAATAGAAGCTGGTGAGGCTGTGGAGAAATAGAAATGCTTTTACACTGTTGGTGGGAATGTAAATTAGTTCAACCATTGTGGAGGACAGTGTAGTGGTTCCTCAAGGATCTAGAACCAGAAATACCATTTGACCCAGCATATACCCAAAAAATATATAAATCATTCTGCTGTGAAGACATATGGACACATATGTTCATTGCAGCATTATTTACAATAGCAAAGACTTGGAGCCAACCCAAATGCCCACTGATGATAGACTGGACAAAGAAAATGTGATATATATACACTGTGGGATAGAAAATGTGGTACATATACACCATGGAATACTATACAGCCATAAAAAGGAATGCGACTATGTGCTTTGCAGGGACATGGATGAAGCTAGAAGCCATCATTCTCAGCAAACTAACACAGGAACAGAAAATGAAATACCACATGTTCTCACTCATAAATGGAAGTTGAACAATGAGATCACATGGACACAGGGAGGGGAACAATGCACACCAGTTCTGTTGGTGGGTGGGGGACAAGGAGAGGGAGAGTGTTAGCACAAATACCTGATGCACATGGGGCTTAAAACCCAGATGACAGGTTGATAGGTGCAGCAAACCACCATGGCACAGGTAGACCCATATAACAAGCCTGACAAGCCTGCACATTCTGCACATATATCCCAGAACTTAAAGTAAAAATTTTTTTAAAAAGTCCCCATGTTGCTTATTCAGTCCATGAAGAGAAGTTTTAGAGGTGTCAGCAGGTATGGGGTGGCTGAACACTATTTTAAAAAGGGCTGATCCATGTCCCCTATTTGAAGCATTCCAGATTTTTGTAAGAGCCAAAGATAACACTTCTGGCCATTTAGGCCAGTGTCTTGATCAAATTTTCCCAAAGTCCTTTTTACGTCTAAATTTTTAGGTTCCACTTGCCCTGAGGATTGGGGGTGATATGGGGTATAAAATTTTAACAAGTACCCCAGAGCCTCTGCAACCAAGTGGTTTATTTCTGCTGTGTAATGAGTCTATGGGTCTGACTCAATCCATAAGGGAATACCAAAACAAGCACTAATCTGGTTCTAATTTATTTACCACAGCCGTAGCATCAGCACACCTAGTTAAATAACATTCAGTTCACCCACTGAACATGCAGAAGATAATGAAGCAGTGAGAAAAGCCTAACGCTGGGGGTAAATCCATGATGTCTATTTGGAGTACCGTAAGGGGCAACACGGGCTTTCGGGGCTTCCTGAGGAATATTGGTTTCCACTAGAGATTTAGTGAGATTTATAAATAGTGCACTAGGAAATAATTTGGTCATACATTTTGTAGTTCCCAGGGCAGTGCCAACTATCTTTTAATTTATTAATTATTCGCACTTTGTATATACAGGTCATCTGATGGGAGATAAGTACACACCAAAGAGTTAAAAGGAAAAGGTCTGTGGGATCCCCGTGGCCCAGCATATAACTCATCTGATGAAACAATAGTGTTAGACAGGGATAAGGGCAAGTTAATAAACCGAGTATAAAAAGGGTAAGGAGGGCCACCTTGGCCACAGATTTAGCAGCCCTGTCTGCTCCATCATTTCCGTGGGATACAGTATCCATCTCCTCGGTATAAGCTGGGTAACGAACAAAAGCAATCTTAGTAGGAAGGTGGATAGCTTGAAATAGGGCAGCAATGATAGGCCCATTGGCAATAGAAGTGCCAGCAGATGTTAAGAAACTACAGGATTTCCAAATTGTGCTAAGTGTATGACAGTCTCCAGAGGCATATTTGGAGTCTGTATAAATAGTGGTAGTTTTGGGGGGGTGGTTTTTTTGTGTTTTTTGGTTTTTGGCTAATGTGTAAGCTCTAGCAAGGGCCACAAGTTCAGCAGCTTGAGCTGACTTTATGGTAGGCAGCTGATCTGTCTACCAGAGAGGGTTTCTTGTGAGGAAACTATAACGTAGCCAGTTACATTCCCTTTGAAGTCTCATTTACAAGAGCTATCACAGAAAAGAAGTAAATCTTGGTTGTCTAAAGGAATGTCTGAGGGATCCTCTTGTGACTTTCAAACCATACCAGCAGTTGCAAGGCAGTCATGTGAAATGGAGTGAGGGTCTCCATCATCAGGAAGAAGCAGGAGGGAAGCTGGATTTACAGTGTTGCAATAATGTAAAATAATAGAGAGGCTGGTCAACAGGGCTTGCTCATAGGTGGCCTGTCATCATGTAGAGGGTGCTGTATTTTATGAACTTGCAAGAGAGCAGACACAGTACGGGGAACGTAAGAGTGAATAGGGAAACCTAATGTAAGAGGGCTGACTTTATCAATTAAAGTGGCAGCTGCTGCTCTTGCATAGGCCTGGTGGCACACCTGCTGCCACAGGGTCCAGCTGGCATGAAAAATATGCTATGGGATGACTCTGGGAGGAAGGGGGCTGTTCTATACCAGCAGGAATCCCATTATTTTCATGGCAATGTAAATCAGGTAAGCTGAGATCAGGGGGTATGAATAATGCTAATTTCCAGAATGGTATCTGGGAGGAGGGCATATAATAATTTAGTGAGAGCAGCAAAACTAGGAATTCATTGGCAGCAACAGCCAGCTGCTGCTAGAAATTAATAGGTGTTTCTTAGCTTGGGGAACAGAGTAGACAAAATAGAACTCAAAGGCATTTTTGAAGTGAGCTTTCTGAGTGCCTTGAAATATCTCATGTTCTAAGTAAATAACAGTTGTCTGCATCTGTTGATGTTTAGACTTGGAGGCTTTGTGGCTTCATTCAGCTAAAGCCTTTAAGAGAATGAGAGACTCTATAAGGGCAGCCTGCTTGGTCAGGTTACAGAGCAAAAGACTGTCATGTGAATAACAATGGAATCTTGGGTAAAGATTATAGAGTCTAAATCAGCTTTGAGGATTTGAGAGAAGATTGAAGGAGACTCACAGAATCCCTGAGGTATTTGAGTCCATGTTAACTGTTTCCCTCTGAAGTTAAAGGCAAAGAGAAATTTTGAGTCAGAGTGCAACAAAATTGAAAAGAATGCTAGGCAAAGGTCAACTTCTGTAAACCAGACTGCATCAGTGGGAACTGAGGTCAGGATAGCAGTAGGATTAGGCATAACAGGGTGGCAAGGAATTACGAAGTTATGGCTCTCAGGTCCTGCACAAATGGATAGATTTCATTTCCATCTGAACTAAACTGTCCTTCCCTTTTTACTGGTAAAATTGGGGTGTTACAGGATGTAGTAAAAACAAGTACTCCTCGTAAAAGAGTGTTGGGAAGATTTGTTTTTTTTGTTTTTTTTTTGAGATAAGGTGTCACTTGGTCACCCAGGCTGGCAGCAATGTGATCTGGGCTCACTGCAGCCTCAACACCAGGGCTAAAGCAATCCTCCTGCCTCCGCCCCCCACGTAGCTGGGACTACATGCCACACCACCATGCCAGGTTAATTTTTTTTTTTTTTTTGTAAAGATGGGATTTCACCATGTGCTGCTGGATTCGGTTTGCAAGTATTTTATTGAGGATTTTCACATTGATGGTTATCAGGGATATTGACCTGAAATTTTCTTTTTTTGTTGTGTCTCTGTCAGGTTTTGATATCTGGATGATACTGGCATCATAAAATGAATTAGGGAGGAGTCTCTCCTTTTTTATTGTTTGGAATAGTTTCAGAAGGAATGGTACCAGCTCCTCTTTGTACCTCTGGTAGAATTTGGCTGTGAATCTGTCTGGTCCTGGGCTTTTTTTGGTTGGTAGGCTACTACTTACTGCCTGAATTTCAGAACTTGTTATTGGTCTATTCAGGGATTCAACTTCTTCCTGGTTTAGTCTTGGAAGGGTGTATGTGTCCAGTAATTTATCTGTTTCTTCTAGAGCTTCTAGTTTATTTGTGTAGAAGTGTTTATAGTATTCTCTGATGTACTTTGTTTTTCTGTGGGGTCAGTGGTGCTATCCCCCTCATCATTTTTTACTGCATCTATTTGATCCTTCTCTCTGAACAGCAAAAAACTAACCAGTCTTCGGGGTCAGCTTGAACAGTGGGCTTATAGGGGTTCTAGGCCCATGTTCTACCCTGTGGTATCCCTATTTATAAAAGAATAACACAGAAAGACAAAGACAAAGGAAAATGAAACCCCCAAAAAAAGCTAGTTCTGAGAGAAAAAGAGTTCAAACAGTCAGAGGCATGTGAACCAGAGTGCCTCCATCTTCAGTGAGGCTGAGCCCTACTGGGCTGCATTCCCAGGAGGTTAAGGCATTCTTAATTACAGGATGAGATGGGAGGTCATAAAGACCTTGCTGATAAAACAAGCTGCAGTAGAGAAGCCAGCAAAACCCACCAAAACCAAGATGGCAATGAGAGTGACCTCTGGTGGTCCTCACCGCTCATTATACACTAATTATAATACATTAGCATGCTAGGAGACACTCCCAACAGCATTGTGACACTTTATAAATGCCATGGCAATGTCAGGAAGTTACTCTAAATGTTCTAAAAAGGGGAGGAACCCTCAGTTCTAGGAATGGACCACCCCTTTACCGGAAAACTCATAAATAATTCATATCTTGTTTAGCATATAGTGAAGAAATAAGCATAAAAATGGGCTGCTCTGCCTATGGAGTAGCCATTCTTTTATTCCTTTACTTCCTTAATAAACTTGCTTTCATTTTGCTCTATGGACTCGCCCCAGATTCTTTCTTGCACAAGATACAAGAACCCTCCTTTGGGATCTGGATTGGGACCCCTTTCCAGTAACGAAATGATATAAATATTCATACCACAAATTAAATACACCAGAGTTGCTGAAACTCAACTAGTCCCATATAAAACCTATTCTCTCACTAATCTTAAATTTGGAAAGGAAAAGGGAAACAGTGATTTTTTTTTTATTTTACCATTCACTCAACCAGAGTTCATGGAAAGAAAGAAACTGGGAGGCTGACCAATAAGAAATTCTTACCATTCCTTTGCCAGCTTTGTCAGGTCCTGGATTCCCTTCACTGTGGTCTCCAGAAAAACACAATGACTTTGATGACTCTGCCAACTATGCCAAAACTGAGGGGTCCATGGGGACGTTTTCCCCTTGCCCTAGAAGGGTGTGGTGAAAAAAAGTCAGTAAACCCTTTTCAATGAAAAAACCAGCAAACTCTTATTGCCTCACAATAAGGCAGACTAATAAGAGAAAAAAATGTACAAATTTATTTAACTGTGTGCATGGGGAGAATCACAGAGTGATTACCCAATTTCCCAATGAGGCCCAAACACTTATATAATCTCCTCCTTTCAGAGGAGAGGGGGATGGTAGGGAATATATGTAACTGTGGAGAGACAGTAAATGATGACCAAAGGAAAAAGAATGGGTACTTGGGAGAATTAATGAAATGGGGAATAGAGATTGACCTGTAAATTATTCTTTTATTTATTTATTTATTTTAGACAGAATTTCCCTCTTGTTGCCCAGGCTGGAGTGCAATGGCGTGATCTCGGCTCATCACAACCTCCACCTCCCAGGTTCAAGTGATTCTCCTGCTTCAGCCTCCCAAATATCTGTGATTATAGGCATGCACCACAAAGCCTGGCTAATTTTAGTAGAGACGGGGTTTCTCCAAGTTGGTCAGGCTGGTCTCAAACTCCCAACTTAGGTGATCCTCCGCCTCAGCCTCCCAAAGTGCTGGGATTACAGGCGTGAGCCACCACACCTGGCCTAAATGATTCTCTTATGAAGTTGAATGAACCTGAGAGATAAGAATTATTTTGTAAAATGGTTGGGTCAGGTCTGGTTTCATTCTTTCCTTTCCTGAAATATTAATAGATAATGAGATAATAGCAAAGGAAAGAAAAAGCAATTATTCTTGATGGGTCCATCTGACCTTTATGAAGATAGGAGAAAAGTCCCTTCTAAGGCCCATTGATTCCTAAAGGTTTTTAATTCAAAATATGCATTATACCAAGTTGCTCCTTCACTTGATTTCAGGGTTTCAGCTGTAGCAAAGTTGGCTATAGAAATATTAATAAACTGTAAAAGCAATACTTAAACTCACACAACTGTAACATCATGTTTGGTTCGTGCTCTTCAGTTGTTTATTCAGAAAGTAATAGAGCACAGTGTAATTAACAAAATTACTGGCTGGAAACAGAAAAATAATGAGCCACTGTCACTTTTTCTGTCTTTCACAAGAATTATTTTGGAAGCTGTCATGGAATTATGTTCAAACAAAATGGAATAGCAGCTATTACTTATTTTTTAAAAGAACAAGGACTGACCCTGAGGAGGGAAATGGTAAAGGGCAAAGGAAGAGTGAATGACCAGCAGAATATTGGATATGTGTGTTGTGAAATGAAATGCCTTACAAATATAGAGACAAAAACATGGTAAAGACCTAGATAAACTTAAGTGAATCTCAAGAACGCCACTTACTGGTTGTGGCAACAAATGACGTGCCTGCTCCCCTTCCACAGGGCAGTCTGTCAACTGAAAGCAAAAACTGTCCTTACCAAGCAGTCAGAGCACCCCATCGGATGAGTGGACTCAACTAAATCCTGAGGCAGTACTCTAGAACCAGGCAAGTGGTAGGCTGTCCCCACCTCTCACGCCAGATTGGGTTGGGAGGTACAGCTGTCATCCCAATGAAGACAGCTGGACTGAGCAAGAGGTATTAGAGCACTGGAGATGCTTTCCCATCTTTGTATCTCAGAGCACAGAGCAGGACTCTTGTCAGCTTCAGAAAGATTAAAGGATGAAGGAGGAGACGAAGACGAAGAAGAAAAAGGAGGAGGAGGAGGAGCAGAAGGAGGAAGAGGAGGAGGAAGAAAAAGAGGGGGAGAAGAGGAGGAGAAGGAGGGGGAGAGGAGGAGAAAGAGAAGAAATTTTAAATTAAAAAGAAAGAATAAAGAATAATTATTTAAAACTTAGAAATAAGACAGGAAGACTACTGTGCACCTTTTCAAAGGCTACCTACTAGTGTTAGAGAAGGGAGCTAGACAGACATTAGCAGAGTGGAAAGCCCCCATCAAGAAATGTCAGGTGACCATCAGGTGATGGTCAGGTAGTTGTTAAACTGTCTCTTTAAAATAATTGTTGGTCACAGCTGGCACCAGGAAAAGACAGCCTCCCAATAGATAGAAAACACCTGACGCTGGTGATCAGCTGGTTCCTGATAAGATCTCAGGAATTGGGCAAGTGAGTTCAGGCATGCTCACTAAGAGGCAAAATGGAAGAGTTTCACGGGTGTCTGCCCTTCCTTGAGGAACACTTGGTAAGGAAAAAGTGCTTCCAGTGAGCATGTGCATAACTTCACTAACACTGTGCAGGTGACCTCTCCCAAGTGCTGGCAGGCCACCGTGCCTGCGAACAGCCTACTCCGAGGGAAGACTCAAGGGAGAAGAAATGCAAGCCCTGGAACCATGCCAATGTATACAACCCCAAGCCAAGGGCCGCATGGCGCACTTGGATCTCTCAAGTTGCCTGCTTGGCCTTCTTCCAAGTGTACTTCACTTCCTTTCATTCCTGCTCTAAAATGTTTGATAAACTCTCACTCCTGCTCTAAAACTTGCCTTAGTTTCTCCCTCTGCCTCAAAACTACTTTTGCCCCTTGGCCAAATTCTTTCTTCCAAGGAGGCAAGAATTGAGCTTGCTGTGGAATCATATAAATTTGCTGCTAGTCACATTAGGACATCGTCTAACAAGCTCACCCAACTGATTCTAGGGGAGATGGTATTATTTGGCTTATTATTTATTATTCTGTAAAGTTAGATGTTAATTTGGAGGAGACTGGTCAGTCACAAATGATTTTCTGTCCAGCAGAAAAAATTACTCCAAAGGTTGAATCCTGTTTTGTATCTAATTTTGCAAACTTATTCCAGCATTTTTCTTTAATTTAACAAGTATATCAATCCTTCCTATCTTGCTGGTTTCCTCCTTAATGACTTAAGTAAGTCTTTAACATAGTCTCATACTATATCATATGTGTCTTTTTTTAAACTTTTTGAAAAGTATAGTTCGATGGTAGTTAGAAAGGAAAGAAGGAAGAAAGAAACTCTTATCAGATTACTCTAAATAAGGAGTAAACCTGACACTTCCCTGCCCCTTCATCACCTCTCCTCTCCCTTCTCTGTCCCTCTCACCTGCAGACTCTCTCTAGTAAACCCAGCAAACAAACCAGACAGGAATACAGAAGACACTTTCTGACAGAAGTCCTACCCTGGGCCGTGACACTACAGAGCTCCTGAGACAGACAATCACACAGTGAGGATTGAGTGCACATGATGTAACCACCCAATAGGTTCTTCCTGCCCACTGCACACACGAAACCAATTCACAGTGTTGCAATAAAGAAAGAGTTTAGTTGACACGAGGCTAGCCATGCCACATGGGAGATGGAAGAATTATTCAAATCAATCTCATTGAAGGCTCAGAGGTTAGGAGTTTTTAAGGGTGGTTTTGGGGAAAGGGTGGGAGTAGCTAGGCAGTGGGTGCTTACTACTGATTGATTGGGTCGGAGATGAAATTGGAGGGAGTTGAAGCTGTCCTTTTTCACTAAGTTGCTTCTGGGAAGGGCCACAGGAGCAGTTGGAGGGTCCAGATGGAGCCAGGTGTCAGACAAGCAAAAAGCCTGGAAAGGTATTACAAAAGGAGATTCTAGAATAATGATGTTATTTGCAGAAATAATTGGGGAAGTTGTGTGTATTGTGACCTCCAGAATAATGGCTGGCAATTGTTTATGTCTACACCTTAGCAGAATTCAGGCTTCTCTCCTCCTCCTACGCTGGTGGCCTTTCATTAGCTTTACAAGATGATCAAGTTTTGGGGAAGGCCTATTATCAATTAAACTATAAACTGAGTGTCTCTCAAAGCTACACCAGGAATAACTAAAGGCAGCTTGAGGCTGGGCACGGTGGCTCAGGCTTGTAATCCCAGCACTTTGGGAGGCTGAGGTGGGCCAATCACAAGGTCAAGAGATTGAGACCATCCTGGCCAACATGGTGAAACCCTGTTTCTACTGAAAATACAAAACTTAGCTGGGCGTGGTGGCGCATATCTATAGTCCCAGATACCTCGGAGGCTGAGGCAGGAGAATCACTTAAACCCGGAAGGTAGAGGTTGCATGAGCCAAGATCGTGCCACTGCACTGCAGCCTGGCAACAGAGCAAGATGCTGTCCCAAAAAACAGGGGACAGCTTGGAGGCTAAAGGCAAAAGGGTGCTTGGCTAGATCAGATCTCTCCCACTGCGGTAGTTTTCGCACTGATATAATTTTGCAAAGGCAGTTTCAATGATATGACCCAAAAAGCATAACTTGGCCTCCTATGTTAAATGAGAGCATAGAACTAGAGAGATTTTTACCTGATTTCACCCCCACAGACCCTGGGCATTTCCCTGAGACCCCTGAGCAGCCCAGGCCAGGATGAGGGAGGGGGCTGTGTAAACAGGGCTCTGGACCATATATCCCTCAGAGATTGCATCAGAGGAGCTTAACTTTCAACTTCTTCAAATACCACACTTCAGAGTAAGATTTTATTAGAAACAAAGGATATTATGAGTTCTTTATTTCATATATTTTGAAATGTTCATGACCTTTAAATGCTTCAAATATACTTTTTAGCATTAAACTTTTCACTGCAGTATAATTCCGTTTGACTAATGTGTTACATAGAGTATTTCTAACATACATAGATACAGACACATTTATTACTAAAATAGCCAGTATCACATACTCTATTGTTATATGGTATCATAATCGGGCTGATAACTGCAACTTGTTTAAAATACTTTACCTTTATGTGCCATTTAGGTAACATATACATTATTTATGTGTAGTCCTCTTAACATTAAACCAAGCTATTTTGCTTCTTTATACATTTAATTTATGCCTCATGTTAAAGAAAAGAAATATTTGCTTTGAAAAATATCACTAGAGAAACTGTTCAAGGAATGTACCTCACTGGGAAGAATCAAGCCAACCTCAGGAAGACGGGCCTGCTTCATAATTGCCATCAAGTTGCAAAGCAGCTCCACCCCCCAAAGCCCAAGTAATACATCAGGTGCTTTTACTCAATGAAATGGCCTCTGAGAGAAAAGACAATACAACT